CTCAGCCATCCCCTGTCACTGCGAGGCTTTGTTTTCTGGGCAGAGCTGCCCAAGGTGCTGTCACACCTCTCCACGTGTGGAGGGGCTGCCATGGGTATCGCCCTTGCTCCTGTGAACCCCGTGTGCGGTTCTTTTGCAGGAGCTCCCGGAGCAGGTCTACCTGCACCCTCCCCTCAGCATCTTTGTGGTGGAAAAGAGGGCTTTTGGGCGCACTGTGCTGGTGGGTACTCATGTTGTGTCCAATGTGATGAAATTCTCTCCCAGGGAGCTGGAGGATGAACCAGAAGATGTGCCCAAAGGTGAGCTGCTTAGTGAGGTTCCTGTGGAGGCAGCAGGCAGGTTCTGCCAGTGGCAGAGATCCCTGGCCCTTCCACTCCCTCCCAGCCAGGTAGCAAAGTCCTCTCCCAAGAACCCTACGATGCCCAGCAAAAGCACAGCGTGGAGCAGCTTAGGGTGGGAGGCAGGTTGTGATCCTGGTCTGTAGCACTTGGCTCCAGACTGGTATTTGGGCAGAAGCAGCAGCCAGGAGATGGAGTGCTGTGTAAGGGCTGGCATCCCTCTTTGGGGGTGGCAAAGGGCAGTTTACAGACTTTTCTCCAAGGTCAGCGTAACATTTGCCTCCCCACCACGCTGGCAGGACTGTTGATCTGTGGATGTGGCATCTCCTTGGGGTCTCTTTCCCAGGCAGTTTGTCTTACATTTGTAGAAACTAGAGGAAGGAGAATGGCTCTTCAAGACGTCTTAGTCCAGCAGGACATTTAGCTGGGGCTAGATACTGGACAGTAGCTTATCCCTGTGTCTAGAATCAGATGTTTAGCCCAGGAAGGACTATTGTGTCACCTCTCTCAACCCTCTGTGTAGCCAGGCTGGAGAACTGTCCCCAGTGAGACCTCCATCAAGCTTTAGGGAGCTGGTCCACTAGGACCAAAGTTTTACACTTCTCTCACATTGTTGGGTCAAGTTCTGTTCACTGAGTAGTGGGTTCATTAAACCATTCTGTGATAGCAACAGCCAGAGCCCCTGATCTGCAAGTGTGTAAATAAATAAGGCACCAAGGGGAAAAAGCAAAGGATTGATCGATCTGTTGTGGTTTCCAAGTAGGGAAGGTGTAGCTCATAAATCTGAGTTCCTGGGAGTCAGCAACAAGCATGTTGATGATGGTGGCCAGTCTCAGCACTGTACTTGGATTTCAAATAATATTTTTGCAGAGTCTTCTGTCAAAAACTTTGAAAGCAATCACACTATAGTGGGGGGAGGGTTTTCCTGTGGAATAACAACAGGCCAAAAAGTAGGAAGCAGTGGGCAGAAATCAGTGCATGGAAACATGAAACTCTTTCTCTTCATCTCAGCTCGGAAAGTCTCACGTCAGCGTCTTCCCTCTCAGACTCTGGTAAACATCGGCCTGGAAGCTGGTGACCCAGGTCCCAGCACTCACCCCCTGAGTCTTGTGAAGGTGAGTAATGAATTGGACCCAGCAAATTTTGAAGTTTGGAAAGCCAGACTGAAGGTTACAAACAAAAAAGAAAGTTCAGGAGTTCAGAGTTAGGTTTCAACCAACAGTTTTGCTCTGGACCCAAACGCTCCCCTCCCGCTGCCTGTTCGTAGGCTCTGCTGCGTGTCCGGGCGCTGGCACAGGGACAAGAGCTGTGTTGCCTTGTGCCTTGAAATCTGCTGCTTTTGTAGCAAAGTACAAACCTGGAGCTACAGGTAGCTTTGCACCTCCTGTGCTCTGCTGGAAAGCTGAGCCTTTGCCAGAGGCTCCCAGGGCACTAGAGTAGGGTGGATGGGTGTCCTGGGTGGTCGTTTCCTCCCTCTGAACCCTTTTCTCTGTTCTTTTAAGGCTCCTTTGAAGAAAATTCGTATCAATAAGCTTGTAAAAAAGGAAGATGAATATGAAGAGGAAAAACCAGAGCTGGAAGAACTGGATTGGTGGTCCAAATACTATGAGTCCCTGAAGGAGCTGTATAACCAGGTAATCTTTTGACAGCTACCAGCAGAGGGGAAAAGTGGCTGCCCTGGCTTGAGGAAGATGTTTTCAACAGCACTGAGTGTCCTAGGAACCCTCCTGGCATGGGTTTGCAGGAAGATGTGGGCTTTTGTGTGTCAAGCACACTTAAGGTAGCCAGGTATCAAACATCCACCAGGTGAACTGATTTCAGCAGGCAACGGATGTTGAAACATCTCTCAGGCTAGGTGCCCAAGTGGTTTTGAGAATGCCCGCAGGCTTTTGTTGAGGCACTCCTGAATATGACGTTGCTGATTTTAGCTGCAATGCAGGGGCTTTCATGCTGCTCACTCTCTGTCCTAGTTGTCTTACCAGGATGTGCTATGGGAGCAGGTCTGCCCCAAATTTCCTTCCTTTCCCTTTGTCCCTTAACTCCCAATCAAAAAAGCCAGCAGGAAGATCTGGGGAGAGGAGAAAGTCATTAAGGCACTCACTGGAGTGATGTTAATGCTAAATGGTCTCAGGCTAGGTATTACTGACTGCTGTCAGGAAAGCTCTGACAGTGTCCTGTGCTTGGATGGAGAAGCCTTTGCTGTCAGGGATGTAGGGTGACTGTTTTGTGTGTGTTTCAGACACGCAGTGATGAGGAAGATGCTGAGAATGATGACCTGAATGATACAGGTGAGTTCTCTACCAATACCCAGCAATTCTGTGGGGAGAGCCAGGACTTACACCATCCCAGAGGGTGCTGGGCTTGTGGGAATGGGGTCTGAGCAGGCAACGGCTTAGCAACATTCAGCAAAAACAACACAAAAGGGGCAGAGGAACTGGAAATATGAGCAAGGGATAACAAAGGCTATTTCAAGTTGAAAGCACCAAACTCGCCTCATAAAAGTTTGGAAAATTGTGTTGAAGCAAGAACCTTCCTGAGTGAGCAAAAACCTGCAGAAAAATCAGCTTCAAGAATCTTGAGATTGTCAGAGTGAGAGCAGGAAGCAAGGGTGGGATGGAGAGAGAGGATGGTGGAGAGGTAAAACTGTCTGGGAGGTGGGCATCACTCTGCACAGGGGGTACTCACCTGGGATACAGGATTCACTACGAGGTAACACAAAGACAGTTATAAACAGATGATCTGAGAACAGTGTTACAGCTCTAGGTTCAGGTTTGGGGAGGTGTAAGCAGTGACTCACCTGGCAATGACCTGGGGAAGTGAGACAGAAAGGATGTAAATCCTATTTAAGCAGAGGGCTGGAGGGCACCTGCATGCCATTAGTGCTCGAGGAATCTGGGACCTTTGGGAAATGGGGCAAGGACGCACCCTCTCTGTCCTTGAGTTGCTGGTGCCCCAGAGAAAGGTCTAGCTATGCTCTCCATGCACAGCTGCCTGTGCCCAGAGTGGTAGTGATGCTTTAGGTAGACATGCACCCAAAAGAGCAGTCCATCAAATAAGCATCAATCCAAAGAAGAGGCTTAGCTCTCATTTGTGCCTTCCCTGACAGCAACTGTGGGCTGGTCCAGCCCCCTTCCTCCATTTGGTCTCTGCCCTCTTCATTCCTAAAGAGTAGCCATGTAGGCAGGCAAGTCTGTGCCAATTTTTGTCCCCCACCCATCCAGCCACGCCGTGCTGGGAAACCTGAGATGCCCTGAGGACACCTGTTCCAGACAGTGATAGCTCCAGTTACACAGGTCAAAGCCCTGGGTGAAAGTGACAGCTGTTGCTGTGGTCATTTCATGGACAGACACTTGAGATGATGGGTGAGATCAGAGCATTTCCTAATCCCCTGTTGCCATTTCTAGATGGAGGGAACTTAAATGCATCCTCCATTGACATGGAAGCAGAAGATGAGGCAGTAATTGAAGCTGAACCTGCTCGACCCAAGAGGAAGCTCATCGCCACCCTTCAGGTGATTGTTGAGGTGACAGATCTGGCCTCTTTCAACCCCAGCCCTTTGTCCATGTCCTACTCACCTCCCGGCAGTGGAAGTTAGACTGGGAGTAGAACCTGCAGTGTGCTCTGGGCCCCATCATTGCTGGGATTTGAAACAACTAGTGAGACCTTGGAGCCAAGCTGGGGTGTGATTGCACATCTGAGGAGGGACCTGGAGGGATAAGGTAGAGCTGTAACACCCTGCACTGACTAATACAGGGGTAAGGTAGGACGAGGAGAAATGGTTGAAACAGGGAAAGGATGGTCTTTCTGACTCTTCTTCCCTTTAAGGTGGCAAGAAAAGACCCCAAATGACTTTCTACTTATTTCAGATCTACAACTCTGAGCTGGAAAATGAGTTTGATAATTTTGAAGACTGGCTATGCATTTTCCCCCTTCATCGTGGCAAAGCAAATGAGGATGAAGATGGAAACGAAGATGAACATTTTGTGGGGAAGTACAAGGTACTGTATCATTTGAATGACATTTGTGCTGCGTGTGGAAGAAAATCCTTAGGCCAGCCTGTATTTCAGAGCAAACATTGGAGAGCGTGTGTGTGCAAGGTGATGTGAAGCCACAGGGTGGCATGGCCAGGGATCTGTTGGAGATGTGGAAGCAGTTGTGTACTGTGGTCCGTCCTTAGTTGATAAATGCACCTGATTTAGATTTTTTAGCTCTTGCAAGGAGAAAGCATGAAGCATAAAGGACTCTATTTTGGTTGAGGCCTCTGGGTATGTTCAGTATGCAAATAAGAAATAGTGAGCTTCACTGGTTTTAAAATAAGTAAAAGTTGTTTAAAAGAGGCATCATCCTCCCACCCAGGAGCTCTTCAAGACTGAGACATCAACTGCAGAAGCTGATTTAAGATGGTCCCTAGAAAACCTTTGGTGCCCCCTGCATTTGGCAGTCCAAAGTGCCTCGAGATCTGGCACTGGCAGTGATCTGACAGCCTCTAGCCTAACTTGCAAAGAGAGACTGCCTTGGCCATGTGAACATGACAGTGCCTTTGGAGAGGACTGTCCCCATGGGCACAGGGTGTCTGTGGTCTGCATGGAGCAATGGCTCTGATTTTCCAGTGGCGGGTGAAGCTGGTCTTGGTGGCTCCAATGCCATCTGAGATATTCTCTTTCATATCTAGTTGTTACTTGCAATGTCTTTTCCACAGGGCTCCTTCTACGTCTACCCCACTGAGGAAGCTGGCACAGAGCCCAGGGTCTCCCATGGAGTTCCAAGGAACAGACCCATCAAGGTTCTTGTAAGAGTTTACATCGTTAAGGTAAGTCTCTGGTGGTGGTGGCAGTAATGCTTGGAGGTCTGTCCCTCCCTATGGACCTCCTGCCATTCTCTGCTCAGTGAATATGAGCAGTGGCACTTGTGAAAAGCTCAGGGCTGGCCTGAAGGCTCTGCCAGCCCAGTGGAACTCAGATACAACTTGTCCATGGGGAGCCTTCCATGCTTTGTAACTTCAGGAGGTGCTAAAAATCCAGATGGGCATTTCTCATCTGCTCTCATCTGCCTTGAGACAGTAAGCAAGTCAGGTGGGTGGGCCAACAGCTGGAGACATTGGTGGCTTGTTGTCGTGGGGATTTGTGTGGGAACAAGTGCCTGTTTCACTGCCAGGGCAGCTGCTGGAGGGACCTGACCAGTGAACTTGGGTTGTCTCAGGCCTGTGCAGTGTTCCTGGTGCAGGCTGCTCTCTGCAGCTGATGTATGGTGGTACCTCTTGTGTATTCCAGGCTACGAACCTGTCTCCAGCAGACCCCAATGGCAAGGCAGACCCCTACGTGGTGGTGACTGTGGGGCAGGAGCAGAAGGACACAAAGGAGCGATACATCCCAAAGCAGCTCAATCCTGTGTTTGGAGAGTATGGAGCAAGTTTTCTTCTTGCAGTTTTCATAGGAATAGTGCAGATCTGGGGCTCAGGCTGTGGCTCAGCATGTGTGATCTTGTGTTCCTTTCTGCTGGAGAATCTGGTACTGTAACGCCAAGGTCCCAGGCATGTCTGTCTCCTCCGGCTGACACAGGAGCCATAAATGTTTTGGGTTAGGAGGGGAGCACTCTCAAGGGCTTGATTTAACAGACAAAATAGCAAACCAAGCAGCTACAGAGCACTGGAGAGCTTTTTCCATAGCTCCGGGACCTGTATCCAAGGGCATGCGTTCCTGGAAAAGTAACTCCATTGTTTGAACATGCACACTGAAAATTGCATGCTCTGAGAACTGCACACACTGAACTTCTGGAGAACCAAACTCTATCAGAAGTCTTTGAGTTGTCAGATACAGTTCTTAAATGTGCAGCATGATCAAAGCAGAACATGTGTTTCATTTCCATCCTCTGCTAATTGCACTCTCCCTGTCTGCTTCTGCCCAGAGTTGTGGAGCTGACAGTCTCCTTTCCCATGGAATCAGAACTCACTGTGGCAATATTCGACCATGATTTGGTTGGATCTGATGATCTAATTGGAGAGACCAAGATTGACTTGGAGAATCGATTCTACAGCAAACACAGAGCCAACTGTGGAGTGGCTTCTCAGTACAACATGTAGGTACTGGTGTGACACATTAGAGTAATGAGATGCATTCTTCTCGCCTACCATTTGGGTGGGTAACGGAGCACCTCCAGTTTTTCAAGGTGGAGCTTGCATCCACAGTATTCTTTGAGCAGGTGCCCCGCAGATTCACTACAAGTTACATGGATAACTCCGTCTCCTTTAGACTCATACGAGCTTCCTGTGGTAGCTCTAATTCCTACTGTGGACTAATATATTTTGCATATAGTAGCAAAAAAATCTTTAATACTTTCATGTTGGTGTTGTGTGAGAACAGCACTCACTTGACATTTATGTGATTTTTCGACCTCTTTCAAAAAGTAGGGCGGTTTCTCTGGCAGTAGCTGATTTTGTGAGCAGCAAGACCCATGACATCTGTTTTCCTTTGGCCTCGTTCAGGATGGATTCTATGGTATCTTTGGCCAGTTTTCTGGAAACTTCTCTTCTGCTATCCCACCATTGGAGAATTTGCTGTGGGCATGGAGTTGAGTCTCCAGTGCTGCTAAAACCTCTCTCTCGTTTCCAAGCTGCAGCTGGAATTGCTGCTGTTGCTGCTCTGAAGCTAATGGTTCTGCGATGTGCAAGCCCGGCTCGTTCTGGGGAAGGAGAGCTTGTTAAGCTTTTAATTCATTTGGCTTTTGTGTGCCTCTGGCTTTCCCAGTGCAAATCTGAGCAGGGATCTGGTGGCTGTAGGGAAGGCAGGGCGTTGCTCAGCCTAGAAAAAAAACTGTTGTATCTGAGCTGAAGGTGTTCTCGATGTTCTCTTCCATGCAGAAACGGCTACAACATGTGGCGAGATGCTTTCAAGCCCACACAGATCTTGGATAGTTTATGCAAGAAAAACTCACTCCCTGCAGCAGAGTACAGATGGGAGGAGGTCAAAGTGGACAATAAAATATTCAAGGTCCCGCCAGAGGCTTTTCCTGAAGGTACAGAGGGCTTGGAGAGCAATGACTGCTCCCTTAAACAGCTGCCTGTGCTCAGCAGCGAAGGTGCTGGTGGGT